AATGTGATATAACACTTGCCTGGGCTGAATTTATTGATACGGTGCATTGTCCAGAGATTCTGTGTTTAGTGTGGTACTGATGGATGTATTTGTAACAGTTTATTTGATTGGTTGATATCTGAACTTAATGGTGAGCTACCATGGCTCTGAGTGATATACCTTTCTCCCATTGTATTAGACTTAACTAATTTTCCTGCTCTGTTGATTACCTTGTCTCACTCTCTCACCAACTCATTTATTCCTTAGTCCCTTCTTTAAATATTGTTATTTTTCATGGTCTATCTCCGGCCTTCTCTTTTCTCTGTATGTTATCTTACTTGCATGGCTTTAGCTACCATGTAGGCAGTGATTCCCAATTAAATGTCTCTAGTGTAGACTTTAAGCTCTAGTTTCATATTCTAAATGCCCTTCTGGACAGATTTTTGTTAATGCTTGCCTTATAAGCACCTGGAACTCAACATGCCCAAATTCAATTAATTATATTTTTCTTCCAACCATTTTTATTTTGTATTCTCTATCTCTGTTAATAGTATTACCATCAACATTCCTAGGCTTTTCCCCAACCCTATTGAATCAGACCTGCAGGAATCTATTCTTGAACAAGCCTCATAGGTGGTTTTTATATACAGTAATATTTAAAAATCCTTTGCAGTTCCCTATGCTGGAAACTTTAGAATCACTTTGTTTCCCATTCCTTACCATCCACATCTAGTTGGTAACTGGATCTTATTGAGATCATTCCCAAATATTTAAAAAATGACCCTAATTTTCTTTCCCACAACACAGCTTTAGTTCCTGATCTCTCCTTGGCACCTTTGCAAGAGCTTCTTCATCATCATAACCTCTACCCTGTCTCTCATGTAATCACTGAGTGCTGATGTCTTTCTAAACACAAATCTAAGACAGAAAGCTGACTGTACTATTACTTGGCTTTAAAAGCATTCAGTAGCTCAATATCATGGGAGCACTTTTCAGACTATTTCAGGTCCTGGAACTCTTTCTTCAAATAAAACCCTGCCAGGAAATCCAACAGAGCAGATAAAAGCAGAACTTTCCTGTGAAGCAGGGGTTGGTGCCACAAGTTTGGCCACTCAGCCTCCCTCTCTGTGTTTACCAAGATATTATTCCTTTTCCAAACCAAGAGTTCTGTGAAAACTTATAATGAACATTAGAGTATTAAAGACTCTTAGTTCTGTAGAAGAAAAAGTATTTAGCTTGGTTTCACTCAGCATATCCAAAATTTTATTGGACTGAAAAACTTTTAAAAATTTCATAGAATATCTAGTAATATTTCTTGGGATGCTATTGTTTTATAGGGTCAGTTAGAGACAGTCACATCTAGTGGTTAGAAGCAGGGTCCCTGAAACCAAGAGTGCTCTGAGTCACTAGCTGGGTGACTTTGGGCATGTTAATTAAGTTCTCTATGCCTCAATTTTCTCATATCTATTATGGGATATTATAATTTGTTTTGTGAAGTGGTCATAAAGATTAGTTATGTCAGTGTTGGCTGTTATCATGGAACATTCTGAGGATGTTACTCATGCAGGATCACTACAAAGCTGATGGTGTTGTTAGTTGGTCTTCCTATTATTGTTCAGAGAGTCAACACCACTGTGAAATTTTAAAAAATTCAACTACCGTACTCCCATGGCATGTGCCACATAGAGTTGCCCATGTGAGAAGAAACTGCTCCATTAAAAATCAGTGCCTGTAGTTCGTAGCATCTGCCCTTGAGCCTTTCATATTGGGGTTCGTAGTGAAAGAACTATTTATTTCTCTGCCCACAGCATCTTTATCTCTCTGGCAGTTCTTACCTTTTTGCCATCGTGTGGATTCTTGCCTCCTCGTATTTTTTAAAGGTAATCCCAAGAGAATTTTGCATATGCTGTATGGTCTGTATGCTGAGCAACTTGAACACCCCTCTAAGCATGCCAGAAATCTCCCTAATTGTTGTATTTCCAAACAGTAACAGGCAAACAGGAAATTAATTTTATTCTTATTAATTTCATCCTAAGAGCACTTCCAGAAATATTCTACTTTTAAAGTGGCATTTCAAGTACCCCTTAATGAGATATAGTCAGATATACCCTTTCCTTTGACTAAAATATCACCCCCTATTATTTTTGCGCCTATTACTGAAAACATGCTTTAAAAAAAAACTGTGTCTCTGTGTGATGCTATAAGGATTTATTATTATCACAAGTTTGTGATACTCAGCAAGTAAGTGATCTGTTCAAAGCTATCTATGCTGAAAGGCAGCAGAATGACATATAAGCCATCTTGTTACCTTTTTAAATAGTTTCACGCAGCTTGTCAGGCTTCTGGCTAGAGAGGGAAAAATCAACATCTATAATGTTTAAGGACAGATATCTATTTAAATGCATATATTAAAGAATAAAGTAAAAATGAACTTCTTGTAATCTGACTATTGTTTACTTGACATTTAACTAAAAGAACGAGAATTTACTCTAGATAAAATGTACTCATAATTATTTTCACTCACGTTTTCCACTTGATTAGTGGAAATCATGTAGTGAGTAAGACATTCTCCAGGATGTTTCCATGAACTACCTGAAAAGAGACATTAAAAGCTGGTACATACGTAGATGAACTCATCACAACCCAGAATTGGTCCTGTGAAGGCTCAGAAATTTGATTTGGTTGGCATACAGAGAACAAATGAGACCTAAGTTCAAACCAAAGCAAATACAGAGGGTTCCATTGGCAGGACCAGGACATCCACTCCCTGAAGGGAGAGCTTGATGGGTGGTCAACTGATAATAAGTGTCAAGGAGGAAATGAAAATCATTCAAAAGGAAATAGTTGTATGGTTTGAGTGAAAATTTTCCAGATTGAGGCCCCATCACTCAACATGGAACATCTGTTGCAGGGAATAAACACATTAATTGCATTTTGATGCCTGAGTTGGTCAGAATTTGCATGGGCATCATTGACATCTAGCTCCTCGGATGTCCTTTATCTGTGTTTGGCCTCACTGTCTCCTCTTCTCTTGTACTTCTCCAGGAGAACTATATTATCATCAATTAGAGTCTATCTTACCAAATCATAATCACAGTCCAGTTCTGCCTCATGGAGGAAACATCCTGATTTTTTGTGTAAAGTTTTGGCTACTTCTGATCTCCTTGGCCACTCATTTACAAATCAGTTTTAGCAGTCCTGGTACAGATGAGCAAAAATCCATTTAGGGCTAATTTTGTTAATTAAAGTCTCATAGGGTAATTTTATTTTCTTATATCCTTGCTTGATTTCCCATCTTCTCTGTCTCCTTCATTTGCTACTTCATGGTGTTACTACTTCCCCTTTATTCTCCTCATAGAGCAAACACTTGAATTTTTAGAGGGCAGTCTTGGATTTATAATCCAAATGATGGCTTTAAGCTTCAGGTCAAGCATTTTTTTGGCTCCCAACCTCTTGACTAATTTCTAAATGCAACTCTATAGAATAGTCAGGACATTCTAAATCTGACATTTCAAATACAAAATTTGTCTTAAGTGAACCTGCCTGTAGTGATAATATACTCATTTACTGAGTTACGGTTTTCCCATTTCAGCATGAAGTCAGATGAGGCACACATGGGTGGAAAAACCACTTGTGTTCTTTGTCTGAGAACACAGTTGACAGACATGCAAAAACCAAACTTTTAACCTGTCTTAAGAGCCCCTTTTGTTCTTTAGATTGGTGTTTCCTGTCCATACCAACCTTGGAGCTCTCAATTCCTTCTGCATCTAGGACTTCGGAGGTGGATAAAAGCACTGCAGTGAATCTAGAATGTCTGTCCTGACCAGGGAAGTTTTCTCAGTGAGGTCTGGCTCATGGTCTATAGGAAGCAGTTCAGTTCTGAGTAATTTTAGTTCTGTTTTGGTGTACTATGTATAAAACAAACACATGGGGACTCTGTAAAGTTAGGAGGGCTCTGAAAAAGATCCTATCCTTCCAGATCTCCTGAGATTTTGAGGTCAGTCTAAGCAGCCTTTGAGTAAGTATCTATTTATGCTTGGGAACCTGGCAAACCAAGTATAACTTACAGATAGGTTGTAGCTCATAGACGTGCAGGGAAGCTGAGGGACAGTGTCATGGGATGGTGGCAAATCACAAAACCAGGTGGAGCACTCTAATATTCATTATTCTTAGCGGGATATATAGAGAGAACCCAGGTACAAAGCCAATGAAAGAATGTTCTAAAGAGTTAGGATAAGCGACAGGGCTCGGCGAGCTTCAAATGCTGACAAAGTACTAGTTTTAGAACATCTATTTTGCAGTATGTACATAACTAGAATAACTCACAAATAACCATGTACATCATGAAATATTAACACCCATCTTGAGAATAAAACACTACCCAATACAACTGAAGTTCCTGTGTTCTCCTCTCCGATTGCATCTCTCCGAATTCCCTTGTATTTATAATACAAATGCACATATTCCTAAGTTAATGTTGTTGCAGTTATTTCCTTCATCTTTATGGTATTATTCAGCATTAATTTTTCTGTAACTTGAGTTTTTAATTCAATATTATATTTCTGAGATATCTTTAGGTTAATACATGCAGCACTGGTTGGTATTTATTAGCAGTGCTTTTTATGCTGTGGTCTTAGTTGTAGGGAGGGAGGGAGGGAAAAGGCAAGCCATTTAAGGGATGTATCCTGTTATGGACAGTCCAGACTGCATACTTGGTGTCCCCAAGTGGTGACCCAATTCATCCATGAGTTAGCTGCAAGTGTTGCAATGGAATCTGGCTGGTAAAGGACACTAATTATAATGAAAGAAACTGAATTTGTATAGAAGACATGGAATCAACTAAATATAAATGATATTTCTTGGTAACAAACACATGGTATGGGCATAATACATGCATGTTTACTGATTAAATTATCTTAAGTTAAATATATCACTGTTTCAAAAATTAGATACTCTTACAAGTGTTACAGGGAAAGTAACCTAATTATTTTTTCTCTCTTTTGTTTTCTCCACTTTTTTAGTGTTTTTTTTTTAGTGTTTCTGCATTCTTCTCCGGTGGATCTGATTCTTGCCCTGTAGCTTTCTGAAGGACTGACATTGAGCATCATTAGGGAAACTCGGCTGCCACCTGACTGTACACAACAACAAAGGCTTTGGAGATCTTTTTCAGTTAAAACAATGACTTTCTTGGAATGTATTCCCAGTGGAGCTTGTTTTCTGTGTAGCCTGGAAGAATATCTAACTAACATTGGCAATTCTTCAAAGACCTTATAAAAACCACTCTATATCAAACAACTGAGTGACTCTGGGTTGTTCAGGGGGACCTCAAGAAGTGGGAATATCAATTCACTTGGAAGATTTGACCACTGCTACTCAGAGCTGCTGCTAAAATACCATGTCTAAGAACTCGGAGCTTATCAATCTCTCATTTTTATTAGATCATGAGAAGGAAATGATTCTGGGAGTCTTAAAGAGAGACGAATATTTGAAAAAGGTGGAGGAGAAGAGAGTAAGGTAATATTTCCTTATCTTACTGCGCTACTTGACTGTTTTCCATTTCTTTGAATCAACTAAGATCAGAAATTGGGCAACTGCAACCACATATAAGACAAATGTTGGCCAGTGATTTTATGAGTTCCCAGCCATAGACCAAATATTAGGAACTATTTTTGGTACTTTGTTATTTAGCTAGACAGAAGAATGGAATTGAGCTAATAATATCACGTTGATGAGAATACCTATTTGGTAATAATGTCATTACTAGTAACTAAAGGGGAAGGACTGGCCAGGTTTTAGTTCCAGCTCTGGGATGTATTAGTTGCATGACCTTGAGTAAGTTATTCAACTTCTCCATGCCTTGGTTTCCTCATCAATTAAATAAGCATGATAATAGTACTCACTTCATAGGGTTGTTGCAAATGTTAATGCGTATAATACATGTGTAGCACCTGATACCTAAGTGTACAATGAATATTAGCTATTATTTATGTATAATGATTTTTCAGATCAGTCTTACTGGGAATTTGTCTCCACCATAACTGGGGGAAGAAGAAGGGGATCTGAAGGGTGAAATATACCCACTATACCCCAGAAAGCACTTAAAATTTCTCAAATATATTTCTGTGTGAGAAAAATTGAGTAATGTGGGTACAGCTGAGTTTCACATCAGTTGTACGCAAGGTTGCTATTTGCTGGACCTCAGATATGACCTCACCTATGTTTCAGCCAGCTTCCATTCTGATTGGTTGCATCATCTGTTCTAAATGGTCATACTGTCATTTGGATTGGTTGCTGCATCCACTGTGATTAATTACTACCTGTACTGTCCTGCTTGTTACATATATTTGGTTATTACATATCACCCTTTAATAGAGGAGCAGAAATAGACTTTCCTCCTCAGGCACTGCCTACCGTGCAACATGTAGTTTTTGTGTCTTGTATGGTTCCCAAAACTATAATCAGAAGCTTTGTTTAGTTTACTTGAGGATAAAACGTGGTAAAGTTATCTTTACATGTTGCAAAAATATTCAATGTACCTAAAACAGCTAGGATCCTTAGAATTGGGAATGCATTGAAATATTCTTGATTAATGCTTATTTCATAGTTCAGAGCCCAGAAATTTCATTTCCATTATTCTAAGATATTCAACTCATTTTTAAGAAACAAAAGCTTTGATTAAAATTATTACATTTTTTCTATGCTTAGAATTCAGGTGCAAACAAAATGCAGTTAATGATTTTAAAGAAATCAGAAATGATATTTGTGTCATTGGTACTCCAGTCATGAAAAGTTGCTAAATTTTCTAAAGTGCTGAAAAAAAATTATATTGTTTACAGGGGACAAGGTACTAACCAGTTATTGATGACATTCTTAGAAGAATTAAAAATCACTCACTTCAGGAAAAAAATAATTTAATAACCAGATTCCAAGACATATTGAAGTATAATGAGTAAGCCTTTGTTCAGGATATTTGTTTTTGTCATTCTCAATAACTTTTAGTAATGATCTGTTGTACTTCCTCTTCCTTTTTGTCCATTTTTCTTCCCTTTTCTTTTTCCCTTATTCTCTGTAAAGAAATTTAGCCAAATAGTGTGATATGCAAAAGATATATCAAGGATACAGTTAGTGATTTTCTGGCTTTTTAAACTTTTTTGAGGATTTGAGTGTTTTTTCCTGCACTGTGTTAGATATGTTTTCTCATTTTGTTCTGGGCTACCAATATGTGAGCCCAGAATGCATGACTCAGGTTCTGACACTCAAGAAGCCATGGCAAAGGCAGCAGCATGGTGTTGAAGTGCACATTGTTGAAGCATACATCCACACTTGTTGAATGAAATTTTAGTTGCACCATGAAATCTTTGTGTCACCTTAGACAAGTCACTTCCATAGATAAATCTAGCTTCCTCTTTTGAGAAAACAGAAATAATTACATTAGCTACCTCATAAGGTTGTTGTAAGGATTAAATAAGCTGATATTATCAAGAATTTAGAGCAATGCTGACACATAGTAAGCACTCAATAATTTCTGGCTATAATCATTATTCCTATTGTTGATTTGTTTGGCTCTGGATGTGCTAGTTGTAGTGACCACTGTCAGTGCTCCATTCAGATCCTCTAGGGTCCCTTGTTGGATCTGTGCTCTCATCTCACAGTTTCCACCTGCTTTACTTCTAAGGGCTGGCACCTACTAACTTTTTTAGAGAACTATCTTTGGGTGGCTGGAGTTGCCCATAAGATTAGAGAGCCACAGTGCCAGGTGAACTTTGGTTTATGTTCCTATTGGGCAGCCCCAAGCCAATACTTGACAGATACAGAAACTCTGTACCTTGAGGCAAGACAGATTGCAATGCAGCTTCTGCTTCAGAGCTCCCCATGGGATCATGCCAAGGCTGGACTTCATCTTTGCTTAGGCCCTCTCCCCTCCCTCTTCTGCCATACCTACTCACTTATAGATTCCTCCTGAGAGCATTCCTCAAATCATTTGCACAACAAAGGCACATTTTAGAATTAGCTTCTAAAAAACTCAACTCGAGGATTTGCCAGACCAGATACGAATAGAGTCCTTATTCCTGGAAATTTTCCGAAGTTATCAACACAAGAAATTTATAGTGTAATAGATTTTATTGCACCAGTAAATGTTTGTGCTAGCTATTACAATAATTGTTCTCAGCATGCTACAGATGTATAGATTGATATTTAGTGGGAGTCTAGAGGAAGAATTAATCAATTATGAATAAAATAGAAATGGAAGAAATGGTTTCACAAGAGATGTAACATTTGAGTTTAGCCATGAAATGTGAAAAGGATTTTGGTACTGGCAAATATATGTCAACTGTGTTTCAACTGGTTACCACGAACCACAAAATCACCTTCAGATTCTGCTAATAAGTTTCAGAAGGAAATGGAAGCCAAAGGAAAAAAAAAATAAGCATTATTGTGATTACAGAGAAGAAACAGATCTGGAAAGTTAGTAAACTGGAGTTTGGGAAGCAGTGGGTTTTTTGTTTGTATTTATTTGCTCAAGCAGGCTGTCCTTAGGGATTAAGAAAACAGAACAATGGAAGAGAGTAAAAATTGTATTGAATCAACATTTTACAGGCCTATTACTCAACTGTGCTCCGCAGTCCACATAACCACCAAAGTGTGGCACTAATTAAGGTGGGACTGGTTTCTGGATGCTCCTAAGTTCTCTGCACCCAAAGGCACATGAGAAGCCTGATTATTACCACCAGATAACAGACCTGTAGGTTGGGGAGAGGCACCTGCCTATTATCAGGGCATCCTAGGTTCATCCAAGAAGCTCACATATATTTATTTCTCTCCTTCGTTCCAAGCAGGAAGGAGTAGTAGAAGACATCTAGACACAGGTTTCGACTATTAGAGAGTAAGAGTATTTTAAACGTTCTCTGCGAAGAACAAATCAATTAGATTTATTGATGCTTTAATACTATGAAGAAAAAGGAAAAAACTGATGCAAAGAATATTGAGCTATCAAGAGCAATTGCATATGTAAAAAAAATCCTTTCCATTTGGAAGCATAATATAAAAATATTTGTTGATTATTTTGTACTTTAGATTTTTCTAACTTTTGAAGAACTCTGCCTAACATAACAAAGTACATGGCTCATCTTATCAAATCCCCCGTAATTTCATCAACAAATTCTTACTGTACTTGATCTTCTGCACCTAAAAACACATAATTCTAAATGCCTACCTTGTGGTATTGGAGTATATAAGAAATTTTCAACTTATAAGTGACTATTCATTTTAGCAGATCATTTGTAGTCTTTATTCTCACTAAGAAGATGTCATTTCCATTTGGCCACAATACCTGAAAACATGTCTGGATTTAGGTTCTTTTTGGTACCTATTCTTGGATTTGTCTTAGTGATTAAGTCTCTATATTTCTTTACAGCACATTATTTCTCTTTTCTTCCTCCTTATCCAACTCTCAGTTTTGCTCAGCTCCAGCAGTGGCTTTAAAAAAAAAATTAATCGTCCCTTCATGGGGATTCCTCTGGCAACTATTATGGGTATGGAGGTGGACATAAGACCAAAGATGACCCATTCAGACATATAGCCCAAATTTACAGAGGGTTCTATTTCCCAGTAGAAATGTTTAATAAAAAGTGAGATCCCAGTTGCTGTAGAGTGTGAAAGCCAGCACAAAGATGAAGCCAAGCGTAAAGAATGGCAGAGAATTGTTATCAGCATCCTGATATGCTAGAATCGGCTACACTTCTGGACTTCTTATTTTTTATTACATTTATTGGGGTGGCATTGGTTAATAAGATTATATCAGCTTTAAATATACAATTCTATGATACATCATCTGTATATTGTATTGTGTGCCCACCACCCAAAGTCAAATCATCTTTTGTCATCATATATTTGACCCCCTTTACCCTTTACTACTCCCATCCCCTTCCCTCTGGTAATCACCATACTGTTGTCTATGTGTATGAATTTTTGTTTGTTTTTCTTATTTGTTCATTTGTTGCTATCAGCTTTATATTCCAAAGACCTAAATATAAGATCTGAAACAATAAATTACATAGAAGAAAACATAGGTAATAAACTTGTGGATCTTGATCATGGAGAATGTTTTATGAACTTGACACCAAAGGCAAGGGAAGTAAAGGCAAAAATAAATGAATGGGACTATATCAAACTAAAAAGGTTCTGCACAGCAAACGAAACCTCCAACAAAACAAAAAGCAACCAACTAAATGGGAGAAGATATTTGCAAAGAACAGCTACAACAAAGGGTTAATATCCAAAATATATAAAGAACTCATAGAATTCAACACCAAGTGAACAAAAAAATATTCCAATTAAAAAAATGGGTAGAGGACCTGAGCAGACACCCCTTTCAAGAAGATATACAAATGGCCAACAGACACATGAAAAGATGTTCGACTTCATTACCTATTAGGGATATGCAAATCAAAACTACAATGAGATACCACCTCACACCTATTAAAATTATTATCAACAATACATGTAATAACAAG